TATGATGTTAAAGGAATGGTGAGAGAGGGCATGCTTGCCTTGTTTCTGAGCTTAGGGGGAAAGTATTCAGTCTTTCACCATTAAGTATAATGTTAGCTGTAGGTTTTTCAAAGATGGTCTTTATTAGGTTAACGAAGTATCCTTCTACCTCAACTTTACTAAGAGTGTTTATCATGAATAGAGTTGAATTTTGTTGGATACTTTTTCTGCCTATTGAAATGACCCTGAGAACAAATATGTATCTAATCCTATGGTAATCCTATTCTTCCTATGTTAATAGGAGGAATTTACATTGCATTTCTGGAATAAGCCCACATGATTAGGATGTATTTTCATTTTTATATACTTCTGGTTCTAATTTGCTAATATGTTGTTAGGGATTTTTACATATATGTTCATGAAGGATTTTGGTCTGTATTTTTCTTTTCTTGTAATGTCATTGTCTGGTTTTGGCATCAGAAGAAATGTTGATATCATAAGATGACCTGGGGAGTATTCTTTCTTCTAGTTTCAGGAATGTGTAAAACTGGCATTATGTTTTCCTTAAAGGTTTGGTAGAATTCACTAGAGAAAGCCTCTGGGCTTAGCGTTTTCTTTTATGGAAGATTCCTAACTCTAAATTAAATTTCTTTAATAGATATACAACCATTGCAATTATCTATTTCTTTTTGAGTTAGCCTCGGTAGTCTATGTCTTTCAAGATGTTCTTGAAAGTTATGTCTTTCAAGAAGTTTCAAATAGTTTTCACAGCAATGTAAACAGAGCAGAAGACAGGATTAGCAAACTAGAGGACATTTCAAAAGAAAGTATCTAAACTAGAAAGAAAGAGAGAGAAAAAAAAGAATTAAAAACATCAAAATAAGCATAAGATACATATGATACACAGTCTAAAGACCTTATATAAATGTAACTGGAAATTCCAGATGGACAGTAAATAGATATTGGGGCAGAAGCAATGTTTAAAGAAAGAATGAACAGGTTTTCCAAAACTGCTGAAAGATATCAACCTAAAACTTTAAGAAGCTCTGCAAACTTAACGTAGAATTGATCCAAGAAAATTACATCTAGGTATATCACAGTACGATTACTAAACACAAAGTTGAAGAGCAAATCTTAATTGCAACAGAGGGGGGAAACTCCACATTACTGCAAAGGAATGACAGCTGACTTTTCAACTGACACAAATGAATGGCTTCTTTAAAGTGCCCAAGGAGGGAATTCCCTGGCAGTGCAGTGGTTAGGATTCTACTTTCACTGCTTTCACTGCCAAGGGCACAGGTTCAATCCCTGGTCAGAAAACTAAGATCCCATAAGCCATGTGGTGTGGCGGCAAAAAAAAAAAAAAAAAAAAAAAAAGTGCCAAAGAAAATAACCACCAACCTAGAAATTGATAACTTTATATCTAGTAAAACCACCCTACACAGAAGTAAAATCATGATGTTTTCAAACAAACAAAACTGGAATTCAAAGCCAGGATAATAACATGAAAGAAAGTACTAAAGGGAGTTTTTTGGGCAGGAGGAAAATGACTCAAAAATCCAAATGGGAATATGGAATTGCAGGAAAGGATGAAGAATAATAGAAAGGGTAAATATGTGATTAAAATGAATAAACATTACTATGCAAACAAAATTAATTTGTTGTGTGTTTTATATATGTAGAATCAAAATTCATGATAATAGATGTTCAGAAGAAGAGGTGGGGGCTTCCCTGGTGGCACAGTAGTTGAGAGTCCACCTGCCGATGCAGGGGACACGGGTTCGTGCCCCAGTCCAGGAAGATCCCACGTGCCGTGGAGTGGCTGGTCCCGTGAGCCATGGCCGCTGAGCCTGCGCGTCCGGAGCCTGTGCTCTGCAATGGGAGAGGCCACAACAGTGAGAGGCCCGCGTACGGCAAAAAAAAAAAAAAAAAAGGAAGAGGTGGGTTAAAAAAAGAGTTAACTGTTTTTAGGTCCCAACATTACTGGGGAGGTCAGCAAAGAAATAATTTGTTATATATGCAAGTTGAAATCTCTAGGGAAATGAATAACAGAATAGTAAAAAAAATGAATAATGAGTTAATAAAAAGGAAATGGATAATTAAAAAGTTACTAATCCAAATAAAATCTGCATCAATCTACATAAAAATTCTAGATTTTCATTATTGGAAAGAAATCTCATGTGCTATTCACAAGATACGCACTTTAAATATATTGATAAAAAGCAAAGGATGGAAAAATATACACCATGCATATACTAGGGAAAAGAAAGCTGCTGTAACTATACAACTAGTAGACAAAACATACTGTGAAACAAGAAATATTACTAGAAACAAAAAGGGAACGTTTACATAAGAGGTTTGTATCGTAGTCTGAAATCTGTATCCAACTAACAATTTGGCTTCAAAATACATAACATAAAATTAACAGAACTAGAAAGAAAAACAGACATATTCACAATCATAAAACTTGAAACTTTCATGAAATTTGACACCTACCTACCACTATACAGAAAAAAATAATTCCAACAAAAAGCCTTTAGAAGAAAACATATGATAGAATCTTGAACTAGACTGATGGAAGAAATTTTCACATATTGAGGTATGGGGAATCATTCTGGCTTGTACATCATTTGGCTTGAACTTTATGCTAACTAGAGCCAGCAGTCTTATGGTCTGTCAAATGTACATTGTACAATTGCTTTAACTAAAAACAACAACAGCAAATAACAAAAATGCACTTTGCACTTACCAGACTGTTTAGAATGTCCACTTGGAAGATAGGGATAAATGTGGGCCCTTTCTATGACACTAATGCTAGTACTCCCTCGAAGATGCGGTTCCCTTCTCAGACACTGTGGTCATGCTGACTCGCTGTGTATGTGCTAATCAGTCTCTTTGGAAACTTTGAAGGACCGTACCCCTGTCATGTCTGATGTTTGTTCTTTGTTCTGACAAGATATGAAACTGAGGTTCAGGCATCCAAAATGGAGCCAGTTGGTCACTGTGGATGTGGTTTCAGACATGTTCCTGCATCACTAAGACCTTGAAATTTTCTGAACTGTATCAAACTCAAGGATACCACCAGCAGTTCTCAAAACAACATCTGCAGCTGCAGCCAGCTGCAACCTGAAGGTCTCAAGGTCTCCCCCTGTGACTACACAGCCATTTCGGACCCTAACCAATCCTTACTTAACTCATCTACCCAACTGTAACTCTGCGGTTTTTGCTGATATAAGCCTCCTCCGCTTTGTAGTCTGGCAGAACACAATTCAAGTGCTTCTCCTTCACAATTCAAGTGTCCTCGGCTATAGTCCTCAGTCTGGCTCTAATAAAGCTCTTCTCTATTCCTATTTTGGATTTATTATTTCTGTTGACAAGACAAAAATTGTAAAAATGCTAATAAAAAAAGATAAATTTGATTCATTGTATGTAAGAACTTCTTTTCATCAAAAGATACCATTAAGAGAATGAAAAGGCAAGGCACAGAGTGGAAAAAGAAAATTGCAAAACATATATCTGACATATCAAAAATCAACATGGAACTTTAACAAAACAAAAAAAGAGACAACTCAGTACAAAAATAGGCAAATAACTTGAACAAGTACTCACAAAAGAGGATATCCAAATAGCAATAAACAAATGTACTAGTCATCAAGAAACAGCAAATTAAAACCATTATGTTATAAAAATACTTCTCACTATCAAAATGCCAAAATTAAAATACACACACACACACACACACACACACACACACACATACACAACCTATCAGTAGTAGCGAGGACAAACTGAATTCACACAGGCTGGTAGTGGGAGTGTAAACTGTTAAAATCACTTGGAAAAGTCTTTGGCGGTATCTAGTAAAGCTTAATGTTTACACACTCTATGAGTAATTCCACTGGTAGGGACATACCCAAATAAAATGTATACAATGTTACCCAAGGAATAAGCTGTTCATAGCAGTTCTAAAATAGCTCAAACCAGAAACAACCCACATGTCCATAAACAGAGGAATGCATAAATCAATGGCAGTATTTTCACACAATGAAATACCATGCAGCAGCAAGAGTGCAGAACTATATAACAAGATGTCTGTATTGCAAAAATGTCTGAATTGAAAAAACAAAATGAAGTAACTACGAAAAGAAGGGAAAAGACATGGTTGGATGTCATTTGTATAAAGATCAAAAATATACGATACTAATCTTGCTATTAGAAGTTAGGATAATGTTAACCCTGGGAGTGACAGTCACTGGGACTATCTATATTACACTTTGAAAACAAATTTAATTTAAAATCAATATGCATACAGAAACTTTCAACAGTACAAACTGATGTCAATGTCACATAATCCAGTTATATCTCCAGGACTAAACTTGGTGTCCAACATGACTCATGATAAACAATTGTTTTTAAATTAATGACTGAAACAAGAAATCAAACACAAAAAGAATAATATACTGTAATTATTTCCCAGCTGTTGTTCATATATATGTTTATTTGCCTTATGTCAGAAAGTATTCTCATACTGATCTTCTCTAATATGAAACCTGATAAACCTGACCTCTTCTTTTCCTCTTTTAAGTTTTAATTAACATAAAAATCAGCTGGGAAACTTCTCCAAAATACATATGTCTCATCCCATCTCTCGTTCTACCATTTAATCAAATCTGTTTGCAGGAAATGGAATTGCTTTATTCTGGGTCACAAAACAAGGGTTCCCATATTTTGAAGGCTGTGAAAAAATTATCATAAAGTCACTACTTACTGACTCTTTATGAGATAGTTATCACTAACATTTTTTATAGTTCACATGATCTGTGTCAAACATTTTGCATAATGACTCAGGTCAAGCAGGAAGTTAGATACATTGCCTTTAGCAAAACCACTGACTTCCTTTAAATGGAGGTTGTATCTTTTCTATTCCTTCCCAGTGATTAAACTTTGCGAGCTTTAAGCATCTTGGGTGGTTTTCATGCCTAATTATAAAAAGCCTTCAAAAGAAAAATTTAGAAACTAACATATAAATGTCTCTGATGAGCCTGATGTGATTTCAAGACATTCTTTACCCGGTCATGGATCTCATCGCAGTTTGAAGGTGAACACCAGTCAGAATGGAATCTGTAGGCATAAAAAACAAAGGGGACTTGTAGCCAGAGGGACAGAAAAGTAAATCTTTCCAAATGCCAGACACAGAAAGTTATTTTTTCTTATCTCTATATGATAACATAAAAAGATTAAAATAACGTATTTTCTTTCTTTGACCGAGGGCGAGAGGCAGATATAAAATCAGGTACTAATTCTCAACTGTAGTATTAAGTCCTCACAATATGTTCCATTAACAGTCTTAATAATAAAGTTTGACATGATTTGGGGAGAGCATATCTATATATCTGACCATTTTAACAATTTCCATACATAAGTCTTCAGAGGTTTATCTTTAAATAAAGATATAAATTTTTATATTAGAGCAATAACTCCACCTATAGTGCCTTTAAAATTAGTTCTTATTTTCCAGTCTTGAAATTAAACATGTCAAAGAAGAAGGAAAGCAACTATTCCTCTTTCTCATGCCCTTCCCAAACTCAAAACTGGCACTTGTATAATTAAGCTACTTTATTTGTTTTATACAAGTAATAATGAAAATTTCCACATCCATCTGATTATAATGCATCTACATGACATATTCTTGATAATTCCTTTATAAAGGAATGAGTACTAAAATGTTAACAGGTTGCTTAAAACTTTCTAGCTCCCAGTTTGTTCTTACAAAGTTATAATTTTACGTGTTTACACAAAGTATAAACTGTTAAGCAGGATAAATGATTTACATAATCTGTTTTAAAGAATGCAATCAGTAATGGATGATCAACTATATATAAATTTTAATCTCCTGCATTTGTAATAGGAAGTGTTGCTGCATTTATGGAAATATATCAGCAGACCTTGCTATTTGCTACATATGTAACACATCTTGAAAATCAGAGACCCAAATATCCAGCTCCAAGAGGATCTCTTCAATGATACTATGAGAGGATCCACTAGTCTGTGCTGTGGTATAAGAAATAATTACCTAGCAATCTAACTCCATTTACAAAAAGCAAAACCTTTAGCATGATCAAAAAGAATATCAGCTCCTTTTAAATTAGATTTTCTATTATTTCTTAGTCTGATTTTAGTAATAACTCTACAAGCTAATATAAATTATAAGTCATAATATTAATATTTATACTTTAAGGAGAAAACCGCTTCTGAAATGTAACACTTATAATCAAAATTGAAACCCTTGCATGGTGTGCTAACCCTATTGGAGGTATTCTTTAAATAGGCTTAAAGCAAAAAGGACTTTCACTGTAAATAAATTCATTTGCTTAGAGTCACTGGTAAAGTTTTCAAAAGTCTGTTTATTCATATACTTGATTAAGGAGTCAGCTTTTTACAGCAATCTTAGAGGAAAACTTATTTAATTTTAATGAAGATTTACCCAGATAAACCAGAGCTGTATGTTCTGTCATATTCCCAAGTTTGCCTGGGACATAAAATCTACATTTACATCAGTTTAAATTGTTTATTGATTCCAATGGATTGTATAAATATAGTATATTTCTCGGTGACCTAAAAGCCAGATCAGAGAATGTCTTATATTTAAAGATGTGGTACTGAGTGTGCTAAAAAGAACAAAATGTTTTTGTTCCTAGTAATGTCTTAAAGACATATTGTTTGACATATTTTACTTTCTTCTATAGACTAGATATAGATCTTTTTTAGAAAATACACTCAAAGCAGAGGTGTTCTACGTTAGTGAAAGTAAAAAAGTTTATTTACCCTGGAAAGTACCCCAATAAAATTTTATTAACTTATTTAGATGTATTCAAACTAAATTGCCATTATATTCTTTTATTTTAAAAGTACCTCAAATTTCCTCAAGTCATAAGTAAAATATGTAATGTTTAATATTTGAATCACTGATATCCTTCTGGCAAAGAACTTATTTATCTATATCTACTATCCAACATCAAAATAAATGTGTAAATGCTGTTACCTACTCTAAACCATCCCCTGCCTTGAAATATGAAAAAGGGACAGTTGACTTTAGCTACCCTCAATAAAGAATTTTTGAAAATAGCCTCAGTGAAAAATTTATCAACCTGGCTTCAAAGCTGGGACAATTATATACAAGGATAAAATAACACAAGACTAAAATTGACATTTTACTATAGTAGTAGACAACTGGAGAGTTCTGCAAAATATGCAAAAAGGTAGAAAAATAAATCAATATTTATAAAAACATACCCAAGGAGATACAGGTAAAAAAAATTCTTGAAAACCTACAGATATGGCAAAGAACCTAATCAAGAAAACCACAAGGGCTTCCCTGGTGGCGCAGTGGCTGAGAGTCCGCCTGCCGATGCAGGGGACACGGGTTCGTGCCCTGGTCCGGGAGGATCCCACATGCCGCGGAGCGGCTGGGCCCATGAGCCATGGCCTCTGAGCCTGTGTGTCCGGAGCCTGTGCTCCACAACGGGAGAGGCCACAACAGTGAGAGGCCCGCATACCACAAAAAATAAAAAAAAGAAAACCACAAGTGCTTAATTCTAAAAGTAGGGAAAAAGAGTGTAGCACCAACTGAATATCTGAACATCTGAGCAGACATGGAAATCAAAGAAAGTCCCTGAAAACTGAGATGCAAGTTACCAGACTTCAGTAGAAAAACCTCTCTTCAAGAGCTTCTCCTGAACTTTTAAAGCCTATAGATACACAGACATATATCTCCCTATGTAAATATACAGATGTATCTATCTATCTATGTATCTAGCTATGTATCTATCTATCTATGTATCTATCCATCTATGTATCTAGCTATGTATCTATCTATCTATGTATCTATCTACCTACCTACCTACCTACCTACCTACCTATCTGTCTGAACTTGATCTCCATAGGCATAATTCTAATACACTTGAAGCAACATTCATCAAAATTCCCTATCTCAGGATGAGGGTCTCTAGCATACCTTCATATACCCATTTCAAATGCTTACAGGGCTAATGAGGAAACAGATAAATCTATCTGTTCAAGACAGAGATGTTTTAATACAGTTTCCAAACTGATATACTCTTGTTTGAATCATCAGTTTTGAGATGAACTTTTGATAGACTCTCTACAGCTAATTTAAACTTCCTTATTTATGCCTGATAGCCCTAAGTACGCTGCAGGAATTTGGTGTGGTACTTTAGCTTTTTGATACCATTTGTAAAGATAGGTTTTATTTCTATGTGTTGACGGCATATCTCTTAGGTTTTCAAATTTCTATAAAATTTCTTAAATACCCAGGGTTGGGTTTTTGGTTTTGTTTTTTAATTTATGACAACTCTTGTTTTCTATGTTACCAAGAGGGAGGCAAGGAATTTCCAATTTGGATTCAACAACAACAAAAACAGATGAAGAAGAATTCTTTCTTTCACATTCAAATTATAACAAGTATCTAACTTTGTTTGCCAAAGCATTTTTAGAGGGAGAACTAGAATCTTTACATAAGGTTAAGATAGACAGACGATTCTCTTGGCAAGTTGAGGGTAGGTAATTTGAGGAAAATAGGCGCCATGTACCAATAATATATAGTATCATCATTATCACTAAAAGGAAAATATAACCTATGCTATTTTTATACATAAGCCATGACTATAATACTAAATCCCTATGAATCTACTAAAAACAAACTATCATATACTCTATTTTTCACTTGGGAACTACAAAATTTAATTAGGGTTAAAGTGACCCTAATTAATAAACTCACTAATAGTTAATAAACTCACTTTGAGAGAACTGGGCTGGGGAGGAGTATCTAGCATTGTATAATATGCAATATGATCTAAACAAAAACAATTTAAAGTAAGTCTCTTAAAATCAGATTATCCCGTTACGAATAATCACATCACATACATAATTACTGTCTGCTCTTTTCTTTTCTTTTTTTTTTTTTGCGGCACGCGGGCCTCTCACTGTTGTGGCCTCTCCCGTTGCGGAGCACAGACTCCGGACGCGCAGGCTCAGCGGCCATGGCTCACGGGCCCAGCCGCTCCGCGGCACGTGGGATCTTCCCGGACCGGGGCACAAACCCGTGTCCCCTGCATCGGCAGGCGGACTCTCAACCACTGCGCCACCAGGGAAGCCCTGCCTGCTCTTTTCTAATGATGATTATTCAAAAATTTAGTACAGAAATAGAGACCAAGCATTACCTTTCCCTGAGAGAAGCACGATTTAACACAGGGCTTGGAGAATGCTTCGGCATTGTAGAGGGTGCTGAATGAACGAGTGAGGTCCTGGATGAATGCTGGGGCTTGCTACGTGACCTTGAACTCAAATAGTCATCACATCTTTCCAAAGAGTCATCGAAGTCTCTCCCATGAGGTGTTCTGATGACCTGTTTAAAAATTTTTTATATATATACATATATATATGTGTATATATATAGATACACATATATATACATGTATATATATATATACACACACACAGGATATATATAGTGACATTATACACACACACACACACACACACACACACACACACATACCCTTTGTAAAAGTAAAAAAATCAAATATAATGCCACAGCTATATTTGAAGGTAAATTTCAAAATGTAGCAGTCATTACTACCACTGCATGACTAGACATTAAATACATATGATTATTCATTCCACATGTCCAAAATCTACAGAACTTTATCAATTCCAATGGCTTTTGAGTAGGAATAGGGTAAAGGTAGGGATGTATATATAAAACAAAGGACAAATACACATGAACTAATGATAGTCTAGTTTATCTATGAGGCCAAACAAAACAGAATTCTAGTCCTCATACTCATTCATTGCTTCATAATAAATCAGGGTAGATAAATGAATAAATTCCTACCCTTGTAGAACTTATATTCTAGTAAAATTTACATTCTAGTAAGGAGAGAGAGATTTAAAAACACACACCTGGAGTCTGTCATACAGAGTGAAGTAAGTCAGAAAGAGAAAAACAAATACCGTATGCTAACACATATATATGGAATCTAAAAAAAAAACCAAAAAAACCCCACAAAAAAACATAGTTCTGAAGAACCTAGGGGCAGGACAGGAATAAAGACGCAGAAGTAGAGAATGGACTCAATTGAGGACACAGGGAGGGGGAAGGTTAAGCTGGGACGAAGTGAGAGAGTGGCATGGACTTATAAATACTACCAAATGTAAAATAGCTAGCTAGTGGAAAGCAGCCGCATAGCACAGGGAGATCAGCTCAGTGCTTTGTGACCACCTAGAGGGGTGGGATAGGGAGGGTGGGAAGGAGACGCAAGAGGGAGGAGATATGGGGATACATGTATATGTATAGCTGATTCACTTTGTTATACAGCAGAAACTAACACACCATTGTAAAGCAATTATACTCCAATAAAGATGTTAAAACACACACACACACACACACACACCTGCCCGCCCAAAATAAATAGGTAAAATATACAGTATCTGGAAGGATGGTAAATACCATGGGAAGAAAATAAAGGCGATAAGAAGTGCTGCTGGGTGGAGTGGCAGGGGTATGTAGGGCAGGAGCTGTAATTCTAAATACAGTAGCCAATTGGGACCTCACAGAGAAGACTGTCCTAGTAAAGATCTAGGGAGTAAAGGCCTGAAGACCCTAGTGAAGACCATAAGACCTAAGTCAGGGGGACATTTGTGAGAAGAACATTCCAGAAAGAGAGAAAAATAAACACAAAGATCCTGTGGATGGGGTAGGGTGCATGCCTGATAGTTAGAAATAGCAAGGAAGCCAACAGGGCTGGACAGAATAGTAGGAAATAAAGTAAATAAGGTAAATTTTAAGGATTTAGTCTTCTATTCTAAACAGAGGAAAAATAAGCTCTTTTTATTTTTTTGTAAGTAAGATCTCCTCGGCTACTGTGTCGAGAACAGTCTATAGTGGGCCCAAGGGCAAAGGCAAGGAAATCAGTTAAGAAACTATTACAACAAAGTATGGAAAGAACGCTGGCTTGATTCTGAGTGATAGCAGTGGAGGCAAAAAGTGATCAGATTCAGAAGTCATCTGGAAGATACAGCCAACAGGATTTGCACAGACTACCAAGGATAACATCAAAGTTTTCTGGTGAAATCAACTGGAAGAGTTGAGTTTGTATGAATTAGCTATACCCTTCCAAATGGACAGGCGGAAGAGTAAGATATTAGGAGTCTGGTTTTGGACATGTTGAGCTTCACACATCTATTCATCAAACAAACTATTAAAGCAGAGGTTCAGGAGAAGAGTCCAGGGTAAATGTACAAGCTGGTAATTTCCAGAGTCTAAATGGCATTTAAAAGTATGGCACTAGGTGATATAACCAAGGAAGTGAGCATAAATAGGAAACACCTGAAAACTGAGCCCTGGGAAGACTCCACTGTTTAGAGGCTGGGAAGATGAGAAGGAAACAAACTGAGGAATGGCCAGGGAAGAAGTGGAAGAAAAAGGAGAATGTGTTATTCTGGAAGTCAATTAAATAATGTATTTCAAGGAGGAGGAGTAACTAGCTCGGTCAAGTACTGCTGACAGGTCAAGGCAGAAAAGGCTAGGAATGAACTTCTGGATTTTAGCGGGGGGGGGTCATAAATAATATTAATAAGAGTAGCTTTGATGGGGGCTTCCCTGGTAGCACAGTGGTTAAGAGTCCGCCTGCCAATGCAGGGGACATGGGTTTGAGCCCTGGAACAGGAAGAGCCCACATGCCGTGGAGCAACTAAGCCCATGTGCCACAACTACTGAGCATGTGAGCCACAAATACTGAGCCCATGTGCCACAATTACCAAAGCCCATGCACCTAGAGCCCATGCTCTGCAACAAGAGAAGCCACCGCAATGAGAAGCCCATGCACCACAGCGAAGAGCAGCCCCGGCTTGCCACAACTAGAGAAAGCCTGTGTGCAGCAACAAAGACCCAACACAGCCAAAAATAAATTAAAATAATTTTAAAAAAAGAGCAGCTTTGGTGGAATGACGGGAGTGATAATCTGGAGTTAAGTTCGAGAGAATGAGAGAGACCTAAATGTAAGGCCAGACACTATCAAACTCTTAGAGGTAAACATAGGCAGAACACTCTATGACATAAATCACAGCAAGATCCTTTTTGACCCACCTCCTAGAGAAATGGAAATAAAAACGAAAATAAACAAATGGGATCTAATGAAACGTCAAAGCTTTTGCACAGCAAAGGAAACCATAAACAAGACAAAAAGACAACCCTCAGAATGGGAAGAAATATTTGCAAATGAAGCAACTGACAAAAGATTAATCTCCAAAATTTACAAGCAGCTCATGCAGCTCAATATCAAAAAAAGAAACAACCCAATCCAAAAATGGGCAGAAGACCTGGACATTTCTCCAAAGAAGATATACAGATTGCCAACTAACACATGAAAGAATGCTCAACATCATTAATCATTAGAGAAATGCAAATCAAAACTACAATGAGATATCATCTCACACTGGTCAGAATGGCCATCATCAAAAAATCTACAAACAATAAATGCTGGGGAGGGTGTGGAGAAAAGGGAACCCTCTTGCACTGTTGGTGGGAATATAAATTGATACAGCAACTATGGAGAACAGCATGGAGGTTCCTTAAAAAACTAAAAATAGAACTACCATACGACCCACTACTGGGCATATACACTGAGAAAGCCGTAATTCAAAAAGTCATGTACCACAATGTTCATTGCAGCTCTATTTACAATAGCCAGGACATGGAAGCAACCTAAGTGTCCATCGACAGATTAATGGATAAAGAAGATGTGGCACATATATATAATGGAATATTACTCAGCCATGAAAATAAACAAAATTGAGTTATTTGTAGTGAGGTGGATGGACCTAGAGTCTGTCATACAGAGTGAAGTAAGTCAGAAAGAGAAAAACAAATACCGTATGCTAACACATATGTACAGAATCTAAAAAACAGAAACAAAAAGAAATGGTCAACCTAGGGCCAAGATGAAGAACCTAGGGCCAAGATGGGAATAAAGACGCAGACCTACTAGAGAATGGACTTGAGGATATGGGGAGGGGGGAGGGTAAGCTGGGACAAAGTGAGAGAGTGGCATGGACATATATACACTACGAAACGTAAAATAGATAGCTAGTGGGAATCAGCTGCATAGCACAGGGAGATCAGCTCGGTGCTTTGTGACCACCTAGAGGGGTGGGATAGGGAGGGTGGGAGGGAGGGAGATGCAAGAGGGAAGAGATATGGGGATATATGTATATGTATAACTGATTCACTTTGTTATAAAGCAGAAACTAACACACCATTGTAAAGAATTATACTCCAATAAAGATGCTAAAAAAAAATTAGGTAAATACCAAGGAAATTTGAGTAAATTAAGGACTTTAGTTAATAATAATATATCTATATTGATCCATCAATTATAACAAATGTACCATACTAAATAAGATGATAATAATATGAGAAACTGGGTATGGAGTATATGAGAACTCTCTGTACTATCTTTGTGTTTTTTATGTAAATATAAAACTGCTCTTAAAAAAAAAAAAAGAACTGCCATTTAAAAAAAAATTAGAATTAAGCTATGCTAGGTAAAATTTTAAAATTTAACTTGCCCTTTTGCTTACATTTATTTTCTTTATGCTTCCAATCCACCAACGTTCTTTCTGTTACATTTTTATCTTACGATTTTATCCCTTAGTTCAAGTATTGTTTTATAATGCACATCCCTACTATATCATGTACATATCATAGAGAAAGTGGATTAGTTGTGTTGTAACACACAAAAACATCACCCTTGGGCAGACTTTTCATACCAGGCACATCTCATAGCCCCATCCTTTGTTGGTTGCCTTTGGGTTCCTATTCCTGACCCAATGGTGTCTGGATGATAGTGTTGACGTAACTCAAAAGATGGTGACTCATGGCTGCGTTTTCACTAGAGGCCCCAGAGATATGGCAGTTATCTGGTAAACCTAACCATCCTAGGTCCTGATTAGGGTAGACTTCAAACCATCTTTTGTATTGACCCAGCTTTCTTATCTCTTCTCTGACATATATTCCCTGCAAATACTATGCCAATGTACCCAAGACACTAAATGCTTCTAAAAAAAAAAATTAAATTAACCATATAGATTGGTTAGTTTTATTATGAATTCATTATTGTCAGTATGATATGGACACTCAAATTACTTTGACATTCTCTAATGCCAGCATCCTCATTGGAATTAATACATCCTTCCCATAATGTTCTTTAAATCCTCTGACACACTCTCACACAGATGTTTCTAACATGCTACCTCTGCTCTCCTGTGAATCTTCTGAGTCCACACATGTATGCTCCCTTCTATCTAATCTCAGAAGTTTCTTCGATCCAAGAATAACACCTACCT